CGATGTTTACTTCAAACTTGTTCTGTTTAATAAGTTATTCATGTTATCTTAAGTAATCAGCATTAAATATTCCTTTGTATTCAAATTCAATCATGATGTCTTTAGGACAAACTGAAAAAGCTTTCATCTAAATATATACCGACCCTAGAAAGGAAGAATATATGATTGGATCGCATTTCGGAATTTATGATAAAAACTGCAATCAAAGCAATTATTATAGCAATGATTATAAACGTTAATTAATGATAGTGTATTGCAAGCTGTCGATATTCAAAAGAGAGAAAACATTACTTAACCCTTTTTCATTCTTTTATTAAAGCTGTGGGAAAAAAACCCCCAAAATTTCTGTTGCATGACTGTAGCATTTCAATGCAATTTTATTGAATAAAGGTGATGTTTTGTCACAGTGTGAAAGAATATCAGAAGTGCGGCAAAACTCTTGATTAACCTTCCCTTCAAGAAAAGTTTGTAAAACTACTTCCTGGCCTGTTATAAGATAGAGAGAGAGAGAGAGAGAGAGTAAATAAACCATCCTGAAAGGGACTAAAACTATACTTTTTTCCCAAATATATTGTTCAGATCCATTTTTACAATGTTTTTTCACAATCATTCTCACAATTGCTAATCTATGGCGTCTTAACCACTCAACTATGACGTAACAGCCTATGAAACTGTTAACGAAATGACAGTAGCAAAGGGAAAATCAAAGAAAATGTAATAAACAGAAAATTCAGTATTTTAATGTTGAATACTGAATTTATTTCGAAAGTGAGGCAGGACTTGTTGATATCTTCGTGAAAATATCCAAAATTTCTGTCCTGATCCTGAACATATTTGGATGTTTTACTGACTATAGACGATGAGTCAACTTAAAACTAAATTGAATTGCAAACGAGATGACTTCACCTTTTCCATCGTCAACTTTCCTTATTTATGTAGTAATACATATATTCCACTATCACCTGCATATGGTGTTAATTCGATACTCAAGAGCATGCTATGAGTACGATCAATTTTGAACCGAGGCCGGCTACTGACAGACATGTTGAAATTAAAGGATCTCAACAACCTCATTTAAAGTCAGCATTTCGTAAATTCTATGGTCGTAATAATGCCCTTATCAGCAAATTTAATCTATCATTGGGTCGTATTTTGACTGACTTATTTCATACGAATTGCTAGGCCTTTGTTTTTATACTTAATTTGACTGTGGAATGTTTCGTCTACTTGATCAATACAAAGGGCTCGCGGCAGGTGTGACCGGTCAACAAGGGATGCTTACTCCTCCTAGGCACCTGATTTCACCTCTAGAAATTCTGTGGGTCTGTGTTTTATGCCCTGTCCATAGAGTTGTATTGTTTGTAGATCGATCACTGCTCGTTATCTGTACTTTTTGCTTCAACTACAAAATAATGAATATCCTCTCTCAGGATCATCAGGAAATAGAAAAAATCCGTTGATATATAATCGACTAACACATTATGTTAATCGCTTACAAAGATAAGATAAAACAATCTAATTAAAATTAGATGTTAGATCTGCTCGCAGACTGGTTGCACTAACATCTGTTAGGGTAACTAGTATGCAAGCGGATCTAACATCTAATTTTAATTAGATTGAAGATAAGAGTAAGTTGTAAACTTCTGATTTATTCTTCTTACAGATAAATTTGTCATATTTATAAGTCATTACACTTTGAATAACACTAAGGAAGTTTTAAATGTATGCATGTATGCCTAAAATACATGAATGAATATACACATAAGATTGTTTAAGATACAGTGTAGATTTCCAACTCAACAATTTGTAGAATATTATTCACACCATTGATGATCCTTAATCTAACGTATCGCGCAGGAGAGGGGTGATCACATCGAATATTCGACCACTTGATCTGCAATCCCTGGTCCTTTGAAAAATCCTTTCTGCTCGTAATTTCCACCCACTAACACCTCAACAGCAACATCATGGAGCCTCTCTCCTGAAGGAGAATATCAGAACATTGGACTATGAAATTAGACACCAAAATTACGTAGATGTATCAATAATGATTTCAAATTGTTATATTGCATTAAAATAGCGTCATTGTGTAAGATGTACCTTCTAGGTTGTCTGAATATTGTTACAGTATAAACCTTAGTATCTATTGTGTTTATAGAATTCAAATCAGTAAAGCATTATCTCGTAAAAGAATGATTAAAGTGGCTCCTCACCAAGATGAATCCTCCTATTGAACACGCGAACAAAGGAGATTATTAGGTTGTCTTGTAAATCAACTCTTATCCATGGAGAATTCTCGAAGCCTGAGACAAAAAATCCGACATCACCGACGACTTCTTTAATTTTCCCATCAGTGGCCAGGCTGGTACCCCATTTCATGGGGTCGTCTGCATACACAGAGGAAGCTATGGATGGTCGAAATAAAGCTGCATTTCTCCTCCATTCTAACTCTACCGGAAATAAGAAATAAATACAAATGTTGCAGATTTGTCTCTAGGTGTCTGTTGTGATCATATCAGTAAGACAACTTTATTTTCTCTCTTAAGGAGGTTGGATCCTGCCATCAAAAGTAATGAGAATTTTTTATCAAGTATATTTTTAGAATTTATACACATAGCTTTATTAAAAATCAAAACAAAAAATGGGGGTCAATGCGCTTCTTTTGGCGCTACAGAGCATTTAGTTTGACCTTTTTGCACTGTAAATACGTCTTACACATAAACCAATTTTTAAAGTTTTTCCTTCAATATTTTTTGTTCAAATAAATTATGGTGAACAAACACAGTCTTATTTCATCTTAAATAGACACATTAAAATTTGTAACAACGAAGAAATTTTTGAATTACTCCGCATGTTCAATTATTTGACCTTTTTGCACTCAAACATTTTCATTTTTCTGGTATTAAAATTTAACAAGCAAAAAAAAGTCTTTGAAAGTAATGACATTTTACTGAATTTAAGAAGAATGATTAAAAGTATCGTATATATTCAGAAAAGAAAATTAAAAGTGGGGGTCTGTGATGTTAATTTTTAGATATTACTAAAATAGTGCTAATTTTAAGCTTAAATTAAGGCTATTTTTTCTTCATTTCCACAATATATTTGCTATATTTATCAAATATGATGATAGAATTCATGACAGTTTTTTTAATAGATAATTTAGGACCAGTATAAAACAGTCCACTGCACAAAAGAACTATGTGTGCAGACTACATGTAAAAATAGGAATCCAAACTTAACATACTTTTAATTCTTCGAAAGAGAAAAAATGATCATTTTCTTCTAAAAAATACTTCCGCCACAAAATATAGTTCCTCACTTAATGCTTTTGGTATGGAATTTAATCATGGAGTTTTAACTGAATATAGTTAAATTGGCATTGTAGAATCCAAATTTATTGTAAGAACTAAAACATTATGCAGAATTTTTGAAATATAGGTTAAGATAAGAATCTGCTCAAAAGCTCAGGAGCGAACCTCGTTAATTTAATTTTCCTAGTTTGGTATCTGTGGCAATATTATTGCAATACATTATTCTCTTTTTTCCCTTACTGTTGCCTTTTCCTCTGTTGGGGAAAGCGTGAAAATGCTGTGTATGGATTCCACAGTAATTTATATACAATGTATATTTGTAGCAATTTTCAGTTTTAGTTCTTAATTTCTATATAGGAACCTGTCTACTAGCAGCGCAAGGACAGCATACGTGATGGATCGCAACTACATATTGTTTTGTATTGAGAATTTCACTATGGTTTCTATTCAAGCATTTTTTTTTTCACTTGGGACAGCTATTTTAGTCAAGGAGTTCACTGTAAATGTGCTTTAACATAATAAAAATAATATCAGTGCAGTTTTATCGATAACAATCCTAAAATTAAACTAATGTTCAAATAACTGCAACTCACTTCCATTCTCAACGATTTGAATCCCACTGCGAGGCATGGTAAGGAGACCGGTCCTTCGGATGAGCCCGTATAAACCGAGGTCCCGTGTCGCAGTAGATGCTGTCACGAAAAAGATCCCTCACTGCTCAAAGGCTGTAAGTGCCTAGTACATGTCTAAATTTGCAGTCCTCCGTCCGCAAGTGGTGGCCTCAAATATGTGTGAAAAATTTTCGAAGGGACGTGAAACAAACAAACAAACATACAAAAAATACAAACATTGTCAACAAACGTGTTGTATAGAGTAGCGCCGTGAGAATATCATAGCCATCAAAAGCAAGTATTTTAATAATTATTAAACTGCGTAGTAGGTTGAGTATTCTAGCACGCTGTTCCTGCACTGCTAGGACACAGGTTCCAAAGGTCGAGAGTTCAAAACCGGGTTGCAGCGGTAGTGAGTATCCTTCTATTGGGAATTTTTGTATTTTATATATATATATATATAATATGAGTTTTGAAAGTAAAGAAACAATTTTTTTCATTTTTAATTACTGCGGTTGTGTTCTATTTTTTCCCATAAAAAATGAATACCAGACGTTAACACTGCCATTTTGTACCTTTTTTAATTGTAGATTTTATGAAAATGTGCACAATGTACAGAAATGAGTCTTTAGAATAGAATTCTTCTTTGGAAATAAAAGATGATACACTTATAGAATATCTGAATTATTTTTTTTTTCAGAATACATTCCATTGCATTTTTGCAGATTTGTCCTATCTGCTCCCCCTCCCCAATAAATAAAAGTTTCAAAAAACCCCGTTGACCAAGGGAAAACCATTAGCAATCCTGATGCCTCATGTCAGGTTCATTCAATCAAATATCGTCCGAAGGAAAAATGAAAAAGGTGAAAATAACGAACAGTGTTCGATCTCAAAAAAATTTACAAACAATTCAAATCTATAAAAGGGCATAAAACACGGATCCCCAGAAATTCCTGAGGTGGGATCAAAAACTAACATTTAATTCGTCCTAATGTCTATGTAATATCTGAACAAAAGTCTTCAGAAGCACAATGGTTATAGAATGCATGAAAAGAATGAAAAATTCTTATATACATACCATATCGATGCCAACTTTCTTCCATATTTTCAAAGCTATTGTATAAGAACACACATCGCCATTTACACAGTTTGTCGTTTGTATTGTAGAAAAATGAAACATCCCGTGATTCACTTGCAAGAGAACCACATTGAAGCAAACTGTTCACATGAAATTCTGAACAATTCAAAGTTTTGTAAAAAGAATTATGTCTCAAAATATAGCTGTGTTGGGTCGCAACAGTCACAAACAAAAAAAATATCGCTTGTTCAAAAAGCAGTGCTTTTAGTAGAATCATGTTTCAGTTTTGATTATTACTTTCCTTACAATATATGTGTCAGTTAACACTACCATTCATATCAAACACACACTGTGAAAGCCATGATGTATCCCGAAGCTTGCAGCAGTCAGCATATCGTGCAATTATTGATGTATTTGGTAAATACAATCAATTACCTACTTTCAAAGACGTAAAGAGGAGCATCGATATGACATAAATTAGTTATTTATTATGAAAATCAGGGGCGTGTCAGAGTTGTAAAAGGGGAGGGTGTAACCTAACCAAAAATAGTTAATTATAGTTAACTATAGCAAATACTTTGATTCTTTGATTAACTATTAAACTTTACTGTAGAATTGTTCATAATATTTTGAAGCTGAAAATCTCTGAACTTTAACACCAATGATGTAAAATTTGAAAATAATATGTTAATATACAAGTAATATTTCTATTTAATATAAAAATATGCATATATGAATAAGAGAACATAAAATCAGACAATGTGAAATTGTTTAAAAGAAACTTTAAGACTTCGTTCTAAGCGTGTTTTATTGTATATATATGTGTGTTACAGCTGCAGGGCTAACTATTAATTTTATCTTTAAGCGGCATTGTCAACAATAAAGGCACAGGGGCTTTGACAAAACATTAAATTAGAAACTTTTTCTGTGAAATTTAGTTCTCTTTCTTTAAAAAAAATTATGCACTATAAAATTATGTTATTGATTATTAAGAACAAAGTTGCTTTGCAATGTACAATGAATTTTAATCCAAAAGTTGAAAGTGATATACAGTTGTATATATATTAACAAAGTTGACAATCCTCTAAGTTTCTTATATTTCAGCAGAAGCAAGTTGGGCCTTCACTGTTTTGACAAAAAGCGTCTGGTTTTCCCGAAATTGTAAAGCAAATAAACACTTTGTTAATCAACTGATGATTCTACCCGTGTGAAAAGATCTCCATATCAGGATCAATTGGGATGGTTGACTCATTCCGTACATTTATATAAAGAGGGGTTTTTTGCATTTCATATAAAAACTTAAGTATTTGTTTACTGATATCTTAGGGCATCCATTGCATTTGTTTGCACTACTCTTGTCCTTATTCATAAGGCGGGCATTACAGATTAACATCTATATATAAGGTAGTGTACCAAAGAAAAAAAAATACACCCTCAAAATTTAAAGCAAAGTAATTATAACCGATTAGCTTAAGAATATCCCCTATGAATAACAGTCAATATTCTGCAGATTATGTGTCTTTGGAAGATCTTAATCTGGCAGAGATGCACCGAAGACTTCCACCAATTATCTATCTTGGAATTCTTATAGCTTTTGGATTACCTTCCAATATAAGCGTGATTCTTGTTTTCTTAAGACGGTTTAGAAAGAGTACGTACCGGACTTTTATAGTGACTTTAGCAATCATCGACTCTTCAGCTTGTACTTTAAGTATGCCGTTTGAAATCTTTGAGATGGTATTCCAGTACACGTTTTATTGGATTAGTTTGTGTAAAACATTCCGGTTTCTCAATACGGTCATCGGTGCTATGTCAAGCTTTACCGTTTTTGGACTTTCCCTTGACAGGTATCGACGTGTTTGCAGCCCAATGAATCGGCAGTTTACAGTAACATTTGGGAGGCTGTTCTGCATTAGCGGACTACTAATATCTATCCTTATATCTACACCTGTCTTTTGGATCTCTGGAATTAGTCACGTTCAGTTAAAGTACAACATTACAGGTTTTGACTGTGGAACAGAAGATACATTTAAGGAATCGATTCTGCCATTGATTCATAATTTAAGCCTTTTGATTTGCTTTGTATTCAATATAATATCGCTTCTTGTAATTTATATTCGCATTGCAATATGTATATTTAAACAAAACAAGAAGAGGCGTCAGCTACAAGAGTTTGAATCTACAAGCAATACTCCAAAGTGTAGTGTATATGTTGTTCACAAAAATGATACGTACAGCAGAAGATGTATTTCCCAAGTCAAAAAGGACGGGACTAAATCAAGTAGAAATTCCGAAATAAAATCTCCGAAGATCACAAGAATCGCTTTTGCCGTCAGTTCTGTATATGTTCTTAGTTATCTGCCGTATTTGATCTTGAATATTTGGACTAATATTAAGGGAAGCTTTGTGGCGGAACCTGGCCCTTTTTCGTCGGCTTTGTTGCCGATTGTTACAAGATCAGTGTTCATCAACAATATTTGTAATCCAGTTCTTTATGGATTCTTTGATTCCAGGTTCCGAACCAGCTTAAGACATATGATGTGTGGATGTTTTACGAGAGGTCAGTAATACTACTGACATGGACATTCACAAATGTGTAAACCAAACTCGTATCTCATAATGGCTGTATTTACAAAGAGTTAAGAAATATGATAAGACATAGTTTTTCTTACTTGTCCATCGGATTTTTCTGTATTTACTTTTTAAAGGAATAAAATTCTCTTAAGTATAATGCGTTTGAGGTAGTAACTACATTAACGTATTTTTGGCTTCGATGCGGAAAAACTTCCTCATATAAAACAAGAGGTCCATGGGCCACATCACTCACCCGAGCACATTGGCTAGGAAAAAGCATAAATCAATTCAGTATTGAAAAGTTTAAGGGAGACTTGAGTTTTCATTACCTCGAGATGCTTCTAAATCAATATTACTTATCATGCTTCTACTGTTCTGAAACGAAGAGTTTTAAAGATTTTTTTCTGTATCCGTATGTGAATTTCTGATCGCTCATTGTGGCTCCACCCTACCCACCCGTAATTTGAACAAATTTGAATCTACACCACCAGATGATGCTTCTATAACAATATGACTAATCATGGATTTGCTATTCTAGCAGAAGATTTTTATGTTCCCCAAACGAAGTTCTCCGGTACTTTTTTGTCCGCGAGTGTTCTTGGAAACTGCTATTCCAATTGAGTTGAAACCTTTTTAGGGTTAATAGACATGTTGTGTAGATGTGCTCGTCGAAGGTCATTTTGCGCGCACATGCATGCACGTGCGGGCGCGTGTGATGTGTGAAATGACTGATATACTTTATATAGCCTTAACTTTTATACTTTTTGTAAAATGCTTTCACACTCATAACATAAAGGTATATAAGTAATGTAGACAAGATGACATGGTCAAATTAGCATGAACTCAAGCGTATGCACGTGCGCTTCGCTCTGAAACTAAAATCTTAATATCTTCCTTGTCTTTTGACAAAATACTTTGAAATTTAAGACATAGGTATATATTATACGGTTCTAAAATATGTTGTATGAGAAAAGTTTTGAAAACGCGAGCATGTCTGTGTGCTGCAATTTGATTGGCTGAAACTTTAAATGGCTGTAACTTCTTTAGTTTTCAACAAAACAGGATGAAATTCAGAATATAGATAGGGATATTGGGTTCCTACATTACGCTCTATCAAAATTGAATGCAAGGACATGCATGCACGTGTGCTGAAATCTGATCGGCTAATACTTAATAGGGCTGTATCTCTCTTACTATTCAATATCATTATTTGAAATTTAAGACATTGGTATATATTATAAGGCACTATAAGAATACATATATGTGAGAAATCTACAAAATACGCGCAAGCACGTGTGCTGAAGTCTGATTGGCTAATGTTGTTAGTATTTATAACTTTCTTAGTTTTTAACGAAAGAAGAAGACATTTAGAATATATGTACATAATACAAGCTCCTACATTATTCAGTCATCAGAAATGAATACGAGGACATGCATGCACGTGTTCTGATTTCTGATTGATTAATATTCATGTTGCTGTAATTTCTACGTTTTCAGTGAAATTCTTTGAAATCTCAAATGGAGATCTTTTTTTATAATGGCATTCTATGCGATGATGTACATATGGTAATTATCGAAATCATGCAAATACGCTTGTACTTAAATCTGATTTGCTTGTGCTCATTGTGCTATATGGGCATTGTTATTTCCCAAAAATTATTAGGAAAAAAGTTCTAAAAGTTTATAATACAAAGATTTGGCTAAATTGAATGAAGCTCATAGGGAATGGGGCCCCAAAGGGAGTAGGGGGAGCGTTTGGGGAACATCTGTAACGGTCTTCGTTACAATTAGTACTAGTTTCAAGATGATTTCTATATATTCTTATTAAAACTTTGACACTCTGCTGTGTCCCGTCCCAACCTTTGGATGGTCATAATTTGGAAAACCCTAAATCTACAGTACAGTCTACAGTAAAGGTTGTTTCTATGTACAAATATTATTAATAATGGCTTAGTTGTTCTTGAGAAGATTTTTAAAGATATTTCCTATATATTCCTATGTAAAGCTTTGTCAAAATGTCGTGGCAGCACCCTACCCCGGGGGTCATGATTTGAACAAACTTGAATCTACACTACCTGGGGATATGTCTTTATCAACATGGCTTATAATGGCTTAGCTGATCTTGAGAAGAAAACATTAAATTATATTTTTCCTATATATTCCTATGTAAAACTTTGGTCCGGGTGTTGTGTCTGCGCCCAACCCCCAGGTGTCATGAACAAACTTGAATCTACACTACCTGCGGAAACTTCTATATTAATATGACTAATAATGGCTTAGAAGATTTTTAAAGATATTTCCTATATATGCCAAAGGAAAACTTTAACCCCCTGTTGTGACCCTGGCCTACTCCCAGAAGTCATGATTGGAACAAACGTAAACACTACACTACCCAAGGATACTTCTACACTTCTTCTTCTCGTTTAAAGTCATCATTTTGTAAGTTCTACGGTCGATACAATGACCTTGTCAGCAAATACAATCTATCATAAAATCAAATGCTGACTGACTTTTTTCATACTAATTGTTAGGCCACTATTTACATACTGAATTGTCGACGGATTTTTCCGTTATTTCCCGATCATGACAAGGA